TGTGTCCGTTTGGCCTCGTTTACCTGCCTGTATTCGCCGCCTGTATCTTCCCATGGTGTTTCTTCCATGCAATTTTATTTCTAACCTGATCCTGATACTTTAAAAGATACCAGGCGGGGTTTACCTAAGCGGTCCTAGCACAGCATGGTATTGACATGTACTTCTGAAAAGCCCTGTTTGCTTTTGGATCACAAAGTTTTTCTACAAATGTGTTTTATCATTTTAATAAACACAATAAAATTTTGTTCTGCAGTCACGGCATGTCCTAGAGCACAGTCCTCGGTTTTGCTTTTTGCAGCACCAGCGGGTATTTGTAGATGATCTACATTTGTGGTGTTATTTTCCTGCCAGACAATCACAAATCATTTAATAGACTTCACTTAATACTAGTGTGTAGCTGCTCAATGAGTGGGATGTGGCAGCGCAGGAACTTCAGCTGATAGGAAGCTTAATAGGAGTTCTTGTAACCCTTTTTTATAATTGGGAATGGTTTGGGGTTTTTTAATATGCGTACATATAATGTCCTATCATGTTTCTGCATTTTAGTAATCACACATCTGACACTAAAATCTCTCAGTTTTTAGGAAATACTGGCATGCATCCTTTTCCACACTGCAGAGGCCTCTGCCAACTTTATAAGCATCTAACCACTGTAGAACCAGGTTTTAGGAGCCCTTAGCCTTTGTCTAAACTCAGCAACAGAGCACTTATTTCTGCTTGTGAGAGCACACTAAAATATACAGCTTTTGTTTTGCCGAAAAGAAGGCATTGGGAAATATGACATGTAAATGGGTCTTATCTTGCTATTTTGATATTCTGACACAAGTTGAAAGTCCTGAGCTTGCTTGAGACAGAGTGGTGGTGTGCAAATGGCAGAAAGTAGAGTCAGCTTCTGTACAGGGGGGTAGTACTGCAGATATGAAGAATTTATTGAAAGTGCTAAAAAAACACTTGGAATTCTGTAAGGCCAAAAATGTAGCTTTATAAGATATATCACTGCTTGCAGCTAATAAAAGTGGGTAGGTTATTTTATAACACCTGAACAATATTTTTAGTCATAAAATCTCATCTCAAAGGATCTTTAAATTCAAAGTGAAACAGTTTCATGCGCTGACCCAGCCACTGGTATTTAATTAGCTTCTCGGTAATTGTTCTTTTTTAATGTTCAAGATTAAAGTCATGCTGTTTGCATGCTCTGATTCTGCAAAAATAGCCATCAGGTGGTGAGCAAAGGGCAGATAATATTTGCTAAGAGTGGAAAATCTTTCACCCTTCTCAGAAAATGCTCCGAGTCATAGCAGCTTCATCTTCACAGTTCTGAAAACATCCGAAATTGTGTCTTCCTGTGTGGTTTGACATCTTCAACCTCTTTTTTTTTTTGTACACGGCATAATCGATGTGTTACTGGACATGTCGGAGCAGATTGGACCTGTCTGGGGCCCACAGCACCACTTTGAAAGAGAAGAGTTTCATGTCTCAGTTTCTCTCTTCTCCAAAACCATGAGAAGATTCGGCTCTGGAGGCCCTCAACAACAAGAATCACGGGCACTGTCTGGAGTCTGCAATTTGACTAAATAGTCCTCCTTTCAAACAAAAGCTACTATGGAAATGCTGTTGTTTAAAAGCTTAATCACTTACATGGAAAAATCCATGTGTAATATTGGGCAAATTACAAAAGGAAGTAAAATATGGGTTTGAATTGTGAAGACGTTTCGATGGCCAACCAGCAACACATTACCGTAATTCGGTCTGCAGCAGGGTTTGGGTTTTTTTGGCCTTACAAAAATATATCCATCTTCTGAATGTTTCGCCTGGGCTTTTCGCTGCTGTGCTGGAAAGAAAGGGAAAAAAGGAGTGATAAGCATATCTCAGCTCGGACAGGGGCAATTATTTATCTCTCAGGCCAGGGGCAGGGCAAAGGCTAAAGCTCAGAAGAGCAAGTTACCCTGCAGTTACACAAACACAGAGCAGAGGATTTGGTGCTCTCTGTTCCACAGATAAGCACAGTTTCTCCATTATCTGATATTTTGGACAGATTTTTGCAAGTGTGGAGTAAAAATAAATCACATTTAAATGAGAAAGAACACATTTATATTTGTTTTCACCAGAGATAAGTAACAAACTATGTATGCTACTAGAGAATGAGAAGACAAACTTTTAAAAACCTCCTCTAAAATTTTTAATGTGGAATTCAAACTGGAATGGGGCAGAGACAATGAGGAATAGATCCACTAGCACTTTGTCACCATGTAAGTGTTTTTTGTTTTCCTTCCCATATTCACTCTTTTATAGCCCCAGCACAGAGAACATCATGAAAATCAAAAAATGGCAAGGCCATTTTTCCTTCAAGCTCTGAAAAATGTGCAGTAATAAGATCCCCTATTAGAAGCTGGTGGTGTTTGAAGTCATATATTTAAACTTGCTGTAGGGAAGGTGTTTCAGGTTAAAAGAAAGAAAGAAGGACCTGATCTTGGAAGATTTTGTGCTCTGCAGTCATCTACTCTGATGCTAATTTTCTTTTGAGTTATTATCATTGTTAAACTTCTCATTCTGCCTTGGCCTGGGTGGGAGATGCAGCGTGTAAAAAGGGTGGAAGAAAAGGAATGCAAAAACTTGTGTCTTGCATAAGCTGGTAGTTCTGACCTGCTGTATCTTTCTCTGGTGATGTTGGGCATTTGAGGATGTCTGCACTGTATGGCACAAACATTTAAAGGATCAGGAGATTGTCTCCTAAATTGTTGTGTTGTTTTTTTTTTTTGCTGGCCCAAACCTGTGTTACAGTGTTTTGTTCATTAGGTGCAAAAACTTAACCTATTTTCATTTTGCTGATACTAGAAATGTTCGAGTAGGAAACTAAAGTCAATTTCTTCTTTTTATGATGCCTGGTAGTTTGTATCTCTACCCTTTTCAGTAGAGATTTTGCTCCAGTTGTGTGTTTAATTAAAATAAGTACTTTTCATAAACTTTTCGTAAACAGATTGCACTAATTTCCCATGTAGGTGATTGGCCATCCCAAGTATCAACAATCCAAAAGAATTGCAATCTTCCTAAGTATGCCAGATGAAATCCAGACAGAAGAAATCATTAAGGACATTTTTAAGCAAGGCAAAGAGTGTTTCATCCCACGTTACAAGCCTCACAGCAATCACATGGACATGCTGAAGTTATCATCAGCTGAAGACATTTCATCACTCACTTTGACATCCTGGAATATTCTTCAGCCTAGTGATGATGACAGTGCACGAGAGGAAGCTCTTGCTGGTGGTGAGTGTTTTCGTCCTTATTGTGCAGATGTTGAGCAGGAGTAGCCTGGAGGCCTGTAGGAAATAATCTGATAGGAAGAATGAAATGAGATGCTACGCTTTGGTTTTACATCTTGTAGAGGTGCTTAAGTCAATGTAAGCAGATACTTGTTTCTCTTGAGTGTTTTTCTCTAGCCTGTGCCACCCCTGTGATGTGTCAGCAGGGCAGGAACAAGACTGCACAGTTGATCCAGCTGAAAAAAACTCAGCCCACCAGATAAATCAGCTTCTTGGATATCCTTGGAAATCACCACATGGATATCTTCAGCACAGTCTTAGCAAGCATAACATAGAGGCTCATGGAGGAGATGGGCTTGCCAGGAGTGGCTTAGGCTCCTATTGAAAGTCACAGGGATTCACAGTTTTAGGATGCACTCTGAGAACTTCAGTTTGCACTGCCTGAAAGGTGGGGAACTTTTCAGGTGATGTCTGTAGGCTGACATGCGAATTCTCTGAAATCTTTGATCCTGCAAATTGTATTGCATGGATAAATCAGTGCTGACACGGGGCCTACCCATGCAGAACACCTCTCCAGACTGAGACCTTTGTCTGAAAATAAAAAGACTTTCCTGTAGGCCTGGATGAATATTACAAATCTTTTTCATCATTCTTCTCTCACATTTTGATTTTATAATGCTGTCTCAGACACTGGATTCTTCATAGAGTTGAAAAGTAAGATTGGTTTAGATCTAGCTAAAGGCATGTAGTTTTTAGTCCCAAAATAACCTCTGTCTTTCTTAGCCTAAAATTCCCCAACTTCTACAAACTTATAAACAAACTTAGTTCTGTGTCTGCATTCAGTATTTGCATTCTTTTCGTGAAGACATTAATATCTTCTTGAAACATCTGAAGAAATGTTTAATGTCATTAATGGAAAACTCACGTTGAACTCAAGCTTGACACAGTCTGGGAAAATTTTCTCTGGGTGGACATTAACCATGCAGACAGCTTCCACACCTCACAGCCTTACCAGCTTTTTAATGCTTAGTAGAGGAACATAACATTTATATGACTCTGGTTGGTTGAACTTGGGTCTGTATTTGCTTCAGGATGCTAGTGTACTTTTGCCCAGAACACTTAACTGTGTTTGTTTCTCTTTTGTTTTCAATCTATACCTCTTTCCTGTTTCAGAATCATTTCTGTGTTGACCTCTTAGCTAGCAAGGAATTTCAGTGCTTCATACAGTCATCTTCTTCACATTTAATATTTAGCACTGTAACTTTTTTTCCTAATTTTTGTCAAAAATTTGTGTACATTGGTGGGATTCAGGGGCTTTTGAAGGTAACCCTTGAAATGTCCAGGGTTCAGGCACTTGGGACAAGCTTTTCGACTACTGATGAACTGCTGTTCATTGAATTAAACAAGTCTGTTGCAGAGATCACAGAGTAAACACACAGCAGTTTTAGGTATGATGGGAGCAAGGACTACCTGGTGTAGAGTGCACTGAGATGTAGCTGTTGGGACAGCCCAGGTGCCAGGCAGTGAAGATGATGGAGGAAGAGAGGAGCAAGCTTTGGTACCTGGCTAGCTCTAGAGCTGCTGTTCCATTGTCTGCACTAGGATATGGTTATGGGCAGAGAGCAATGCCAAAAGAGCTGCTGCAGTCTACAAAGAGATGCCAAGAGAGCAGTTGTAACGACTGGTGTGTGTCCACATCAAACTTGTTCTGCCTGAAGCTCAGTTTCAGTCTGTACTAAGTAATTTAGAAATAATTCGGTTTGGATTGGAAGTCAGACCTTGGTCCTTTATTCTTGGACAGTTTTTGTAGATTAAAGAATAAGTTTAGGTTTGTTTCACTATTGCATAATCAGACTTTGTCCCCACAGAAACATCCACTGTATCTCAGTGTGTCTTCAAATTCCTTTTGCTGTATTTTTTTGTGTCAGTTACTATATTTTTTGAACTTGGGTACATTTGCAGGAATGCAAATTGCCTTGCTGCTGCATCCATCCTCCATTCTTGGCATTATGCATGGATGAAACATTTATCTCTGTGATGTTATCAAATACTGTGGTGATCTGAGGCATTTACATTGTTATAAGGAGATAACACGGTGTTACATTAGTAATGTTCCCATTGCTGGCATAAGTTGCTATGTAATTTCCAAGAAATACCCTGCAGGTACATAAATAAGTCATGTCATTTCTGAGTGTATTCATTTTGCATGACAAAAAGCTTAAATTCACACTGTCCTTAAAACTTCAGGCATGGTTATTGTGAAGAATAGCTCAAACATTAGAGTAGGTATAATTTTTGCATAGACTTTCCTAGTCTTTGGTAGTGCTCAGGCAGTGTCTAATAGATGTGAACCCTTCCTTTTGAATAGACCCTCTTCTTCAAGACAGCCCATCTTCTGTTGGATCAGGGTTTACCTATTTTCATCTTGGCAGCACACTACATACACCTTGTTGGCATAAACAAAGATCTCTGCAGATTTGGTAGCAGAAAGTCTGCTATCTTTACTGCACATGGGTGACAGTAATCCTCATATGAACAGTTGCTTTCTTTAGGCTAATGGACACAGTAACAGAACAAAGGTGAAAGAAGTTCAGATATTTTGTTTGGAGTAGAGATGTGTGCAGGTGCATGACTTGGGTTCATTTCCAGCTGTACCTACTGAAAGATTTAGACAACTTCTGGAGCAAGCCAGTGGTATGTTTTCTTAATAGGTACCAATTCCCACTTGTATCCTTGCCCATCAGAAATGTAATGTGCACTGGTATCAGGTTTTGCCCAAGGTAATACTTTCTATGAAATTTCAGGTGGGTTGCAGTCATTGTTTACAGGAGTGTAAATACCTCGCACAACTTTGGAAGGAGTAAATAAGATAAAACCATGCTCCCTGTTTGCTTTTTACCATGACTCCTACAAAAATTTAAAAGGACATTTCCCCAGCAGTTCTAATTTCAATGTGGTTTAGCAAGGCGGTGTGATTCAGCTGGCTGGACATAGGTTTCCTAACTTGTAATGACATGTATTATTACTTAAACCTGTTCTGAGAACTATGGTAAAAAGCTGTGACTGAAAAAAAAAAAAAGACTGGATTGAGTTCATAGAATTATAGAATAACTATTCTATGGGTTGGAAAGTTACCTCCATATGGTAAAATTCTTGGAGGTGGCTTCTTTGAAGGGAATGCAGGTGGCCAACTTTGGACTGAAGAATTTCAGGTAGCAGTCTTGGACCTGAGGGAATATTATACTTAAATGTTCATAACTGAACTACTGACTAGTAGTTGAAGGTGTACAGTGAATTATAGGCAACTTTTAAAACATTCACCTAGGTAATGGAGAGAGGGGGTTTGGCCTAGATATTTTTCCTTGGCTGAAAAAATAAAGAGTTACGACAAATTATGGCTCTGGAGCTGATTACTCTGATGGACTGTGAGGCACTCTCCTAAGAAATGTAACAAATGGGATTATGTGTACAAACTTAAATCGGCCTCTTTATCTGTGTAAATTCTGCCCTGGCCTTTAAGTACATTACTACATAGTGTTTGCCTATTGGATCTGGGCTCATTCAAAGATGAACCCAGATGAGGTGATACTGGCTCTTCTAAAGATGCAGAACATGAACACTGCTTGCTGTTAGCGAATGCTGCTGACAAGTATGTGCTCAGTCATTTGATTTCTCTCTGTTCAAGTTAGAGCTGCAGGCCTTTACTACTATGCGTTATGGTATGGCAATAGAGTTCTTCATTTCTGTATGGGCTCTTTATCACTACAGTGTTCAATGACTTAAAAATATTAACCAGTATTTGCTGATGGAAAAGCAGCAGAGGCTTGGGATCCTGGTTCCAGCCTGAGTTGTGCAAAGGATCTGTCCCCACTGAACACAGGCTCATTTGCTTGGCTTTCCAAACATTACGGTTTCTTCTCTGTTCCCTCTGAAATGATCATTTCTTAGACTTGCCTCATCCTTGGGCTAGACCCCATTTCCCAGCTTAATTTCTCTGCCTACACGATGCTCCTTTCCATCCTTCTGCTCTTTGCCCATCCTGTCTGAATCTCCCTCTCCAAGTGTCCTTCCAGAACACTTTTGAGACTTGCTGTAGCATAAATTACAACATACAGCAGAAACAGGCAGGGACGGCTTGCTCACATATATTGTATTTGGTTTATAAAGGCTATTTATGCTGGGAAGCGTTATCCTCTTGCAGGGAAAATGCTGGCTACCTCTAGGCTACAGTTTGAAGCAACCTCAAGTAGTATGAGTGACCATTAGCCCTGTTTTAAACTTTGCCACTGGGATTTGCCCTGCAGAAACACTTTAGTCCACAGAAGCTCTTTTTCATCCATCTTTAAACTACTGCTATTTATTCATACATTCAAAGAGGCTGCATTTGCTACCAGGACTGATGGCCTTGTGATGCCAGCAGTCTTCATTATTCCAAATTTTAGCGCAGTTCTTTAGGAGTGTGACTGAAGTGGTGGCAGTACAATCTTGAGAGGAATAGGTTTAATTTACAGCTGTGAAACAAAGTGGGATGTAAAAAAAGATAATTGGTTGTCCCTGCTCCCCCTGCCCAAAAAAAGATGCATAAGAAATGGGAGAAAATGTTGGGTCTTGAAGCACAGAGTTGTTATAATATGCTGCTTCAGCTCCATTAGGTGTTGTGTAGCTGTCCATGAAGGCACAATGGGACCATACAAAATGATGCTAATCATTCTGAAGAAACATGTGTAGTAAATAAAGCTCAGGGGTAACCAAATGTTTAAATGAGATCTATGCAGATTGGAATGTATCTGGATGTAATGAAACATGGGTGTGAGAAAAGCGGAGATGTTAAATATTACTGCTTTGGAAAAAAACAAAAGTACCCCAAAAGAGATTGTAAAGTGATTGAGAGCACTATTAGATTTTCTTCTCCTTTGGGAAACTTGATTAAAACTTACAGTATAAAATATGTCAAGGAATAGATTATAATTTAAAATCTTTTTACACTGGTCATAAAAAAGAAAA